TCAGTTCCTATCCCTCTAACCTCTGAATCTCCCACCCTCTACTACTTTGTTTTGTACCCTCTCTTTCTCTCTTCGCCCATATTCACTCCACTTTACAGTATATCCTGTGAAGATCTTTGGGATATTTTCCTGATGGGAAAGATGCTAAACCAAACATAAGGATTATTATCGTTATATTCCACCTTAAATCCAACCTCTTTTCAACAATAATAATTGTCCTTACATTTGATATAACGCTTTTCACGTTTCAAAGGGCTTCACAGAATTTGCTGTAAAGTCTAATGACTGTGTATTTGTAGGCGAACAATTAGGATTATGTAGTAATATGATCATGTAATATGTAATGCGTCATAACATCATGATTACATATTATTATAACATTGCATGTAATATTATTATGTAATAATGACTCACAGGAACTGGAGCAGAGTTCCTGTGAGTTGACAGAAATTTTAACTTGGATGAGAGTATTTCTCGTAATATTATATGTGGAGTGCTGTAGCTCAGTGGTTAGAGCACTCGCCTCACAAGTGAGAGACCTGGGTTTGATTTCTGACAGGGCGAAATGTGGGCAAGTTTCCTTACTCCACTCCTCTGTTTACCTAGCAGTAAGTAGGAACCCAGTTGTTAGTCGATTGGTGGATTACTTTTCCGGAGGTAGTAATTCCTTCGAAAAAAATAATAATAAATTGGTCCGTTCAATCCACGACTGTGTGAGACATTGCTGTGTGCAATTTGGCTGCTGCATTTCGCCCACAAATATATACAGTAAATTCACTTTACAGTATATTCTGTGTATATTCTATATAGTCTTTGAGATGTCTCAAAGACGTGATAAGGAGCTACATCAAATAAAAGGATTATTATATGATGAGAATGCTAAGTTAGATGGGTAGATAGCTCTCTGAGAGGCTCATAGAGATGAACAGTCTTTTTGAAAAAATAATGGAGGCAGGGGGAAGGAACTTTCTAGATCATTAAAATGACGAGAGATATATAGATGGTGAAGAAAATATAAGAAAATATAAAGGCAGGAGAGTGACTGATCGGGAAATCCTGTGTCTGTTTTGCAGCATTAAAAACATTCCTGAAAAATAACTGCTAGAAAGTAGTTTTCAATTCAGCAATCTATACTTGGAAAGTTTATACTTCATTGCACTTCTTATGTTAGTCCAGTAAAGGCAGAGGAATAGATTTAGGATCTATCTAATGATTACTTATCTGATAGTAGGGAAATGGAGATAACTTCCTCCAATAGCACTGTTGGCCATGCCAGTAGTGGTGTGAAATTGAACCTTACAGATCAACAATAACAACAAGTTGCATTTATGTACCGCCTCTCACGCAGGGCAGTGTCCCAGATCAGAGATCAAATTCCCAAGATTAATGCTCGGTCTCAGCATAGTTAATTGATCTTAGCCAGAGCAGCGGCTGGACTTTACAGAGGCCTCAGAATTCCCTTTCCTGATCGCTGCCCAGTTACCCCCTAGTTATGCACATGTCTGTGAACATAAGCTTGAGCTTGGCTGTAATGCTTCTTCACTGTGAAAACAACCTGAGTCACCCCTTTGATGGGCGTAGAGGGCGAGAGAATCAATGTTTCTGATCCATATGGGAATTCAGAAGTAATGAGTATCAGTTCACAACATTCTTTATAAAAAAAACAATCTTGGTTATTCCACAATGAACCAAAGCACATTGAGTCAAGGTGTCAGTCATAGTGCTTATCAATGTGTTCAAATCTTGACACATCTCTTCAAGAAAAGGGCTTCAAATACTGTAACATAGTCAACCGATCATAATACCCACCATAAATAGATACTCCCAGGTATATAATATTCTATTTTTTCCATTTCATTTTTTTAAATTTATAGGTTATTTAAAGTTTCAGAAGAAGAAAAATCAGAAATAGAAAGCACACGCAATGCCCTCTGTTCTTCATCTTTATCTTTATTCATTTGTCGCTGTTGATTTCAGCAAGTCACCCACAAATGATTTAGTCTAATGGTATGGCCCTCACTATTGTAAACTATTTCTGAAAGGATATTCAATCTCTGGTTAAAAGGACACAGTGCTGGGAAATGTTTCAAAAGTCATTTGGCTTACGGTCAATCAGCTATCTTTTTGCATTTAACCAAATGAACTTTTCACTCACCCAAAACGGAAATGTTATCCAACAAAAAGAATGGTATAAATGTGTAAAATGCACCTGTGGAGTGGGGCAACTCTGTAAGAGACCACAAAACAAAAGCAAAGAAGGATGGAGGTGAAGAGATAAATTTAGTAAATTACTATACTGTGTTCAGCTTGTCAAGGCTGGGAGTTACCCATCTCTGAACAATAGGCTAATAGAACTCTACTGAGTGCTTATTTATTAATATCACCCTGAAATTGTGTTAACATTGGAAGATTAACTCAAAAAGGTTGACTGTTTTAAAAAGATTCAGTTCTATTTTTATTTATCCAAACTTTGTGCTTTTTTTCTTTGTGACAGACTGGAAATTATGACTTTTCTCTTTGAATTAGACTTTTGAGTGGGATTTTCTTGTAACAATATTTTTCCCCTGAAATTAATGTTAGCAATATTCATCTGCTGTATTCAGAAATGAAATCAACTTGGAGTCTCAAAAGGTCTAGCAAATGGAATTCACAATGAAGAGTCCTCATTAAGCGTGCAAAGTAAATCAATATTCATTGATGTTGTCTCATGAATTTTAAATGCCGATAATTTACTAGAAAGGATTAAGTTTGCATTTAAATAGTTTTAAAACTATTTAAATGTAAACTTTGAGGAGGATAGTAGCAGACTGCAAATGGACCTAGACAGACTGATAAATTGGGCAGACACGTGGCAGATGAAGTTTAATGTGGAGAAATGCGAACTGATGCATTTTAGGAGAAAGAATGAGGGGGAGGCAATATAAGCTGATGATGCAGTCCAAAAGGGGTGAAGGAACAGAGAGATCTGGGGGTTCATATAAGTAAATCTTTGAACCTGGCAGGACAGGTAGATAAAGTTGTTTAAAAAAAGCATACAGGATACTCGGCTTTATAAATAGTTGCATAGAATACAAAAGTCAGGAAGTTATGATGAACCTTTATAAAATATTGGTTAGGCCTCAGCGAGAGTACTGTGTTCAGTTCTGGGCACCACACTTTAGGAAGAATGTCAAGGCATTGGAGAGGGTGCAAAGGAGATTTACCAGGACGGTACCAGGAATGAGGGACTTCAGTTACCAGAAGAGACTAGAGAAGCTGGGATTATTTTTTCTTGGAGCAGACAAGTTTAAGAGGAGACTTAATGGAAATTTTCAAAATTATGAGGGAATTCGATAGGGTAAACAAGGAGAAACTATTTCCACTGGCGGGTGGGTCAGTAACCATACTCTGGAACCCTTTGCCTCGCTTCCTCCCTTGCCTCCTTGAAGGCCAGTCTCAAGACCCTTCTCTTCGACTGTGCCTTTGATCTCCCTCCCACCTCTCTGCCTTCCCTCACCCCTACACCACCCCTCCCCCATGCTCAGGCCCCGACACCTGACTGTTCAGCGCTTTGGGACATCTTCCCAACGTGAAAGCCGCTCTATAAATGTAATTTTGTTGCTGCTGTTGTTTCTATGATGGGAAATTTCACACATTTTATGTTAATGGCTGGTTGGCAGTGCGTTATGGCCCTATGACCAAGCACAGGATTGTGATGCCAAGTGCCATCCATTCTGTCCCTCTCCACATAACACTGTGTCCTCACAACTCGCACACTTTGAACAAAGTATTGGAAATGACATGTTTGCCTCTACAGCTCTGTTAATCTTAAAACATTCACTTTTTTGTCACTCCTAAGCTTCATTTATGGTAAAGAAATTGAATTGTGCAGTAATCTGCGGGATCTCTCCGCATATTTTATCAGTGATTGGGAACACATGTTTTTTGACAAACAGAGAAACAAAAGCCTGCTGTGTACTGGTCAGCAATGACTTTGCTGCTGCATTTGGACCCATCAGCTGCTGCAATAATTGCAGCATCTGATGGATCTAGACACACTGTCCAGCTACTGCAATAATATTGCCTCTGGTTTTCCGTTACATTGCTCGCTAATAATCTTCTGCTGTTGCTTCTGTAATTAAGTAATTATTCACAATTGTTGCTGCTGACAGTTTGAGAAGAGACACATATGAAGAATGATGGGGAGGCACACTAAGTGCTACTGACCTATGGAAAATACACTACCATTTGTTCTTTATAAGCCAATGTAAAAGTGAATTGTTTCTTGTATTTTTATGTTAAAATGAGTTGTAACTGTTAGCACGTAGACCCCACCTAGTGGCCATTGTGTGCAATTTACTTTTACTTTCCTGTTGTATTTATTGCAGCTCATTTGTTAACTCTTGGAACAATCCACAACTGACCCTCCCCACTCATTCACTTCACATACATGGTGTATAAAATGCCCCTCGGTATTTACAACTGTCTAAATCTTTACACAACTGATATGTTCAAACTAAACACTGAAAAATGTTGCTCCTAACAACAATGAAATACTCCTTTTGGATTCTTAGAAGTGATTTCCTAAAAACAACTTCAGTTGTTGACCTGAGAGCAGTCATAGTTGATTGATGATGTTATACTGGTGGAGTGTTTCTTTTATAAATTGGTTAATACACAAACCGTGGGTTAGGATAAAGAGCATTTATCAGTTTTAAAAATGGTCTGAACTTAACTGATTCGTTGAGGTTAGATTGAAGATTAATGATGAACTACAGGACTGTCCACCAAATTGCCAATAAGCCAGTTAGTTGAGGTTTGATCTTTCCCCTTACCCTTTATTAGTTCAACCTGTCCTCAATATGACAGCATAGTGCAGTGCACAAGTCCATACTTGCAGGACCAGTTTAAGATCCATTGTGACACGAGTTATTTGGACTGGTCTGCATTTTCTCCTGTGAATGATATTGACGTGAAATCTTGGCAATGTTTTACCCTGGGACTATTTGTTCTTGTTACAGGATGTCATGGTGGTGGGCGAACCGACATTGATGGGCGGAGAATTCGGGGATGAGGACGAGCGGCTGATCACTCGATTAGAGAACACACAGTACGACGCAGCAAACGGCATCGACGATGAGGAAGATTTCAATAACTCTCCCGCTTTGGGAAATAACAGCCCCTGGAACAGCAAAGCCCAATCCAGTCAGGAGCCCAAATCAGAAAATGCCACACCTCAAGCCTCTCAATAAACAAGAACATTTAAATCTTTTTATTATAAACACATTTTGTGCTTTTTCCCTTATCGTTTCTTCTTTCTCCAGGCTGCACCTGAGAGTTTCTTGTTTAAAAATGTCTGCATTGGGCAGTATTGAAATATTAAAAACCTCTACTTTATTTTAGTGAGTTCATATTTAATGCTTTGACAAACAGTTGGTATTATAAGCCATGCAACCCGTTATATTTTGTGGGCATCTTAGTAGAACATGTTTTGTGGTTTCTTTAAATTGTTTCTAAGTTTGATCAGTTGCTATCATGGGACATTGGTAGTGATTATCGTTTATATTCAGGTTTGCAAGAACCTTTGCTGGTCTCTTTTGCTTGTGTATTTATGTAAGCTTTTGTAAGGGGACTAACAGATCATTTAGAGCAGATACTATTTGATTCACATAAATGTTCAGCACAATGTGTGAAACTTAGAAATGAGTCTTTGTGTCATTATACGGATGTATTTTATGTATGCTTTGCCATTAATTAAGTGTGCCAATAAACTGTGGTAACAATGCACAGGCCTGTCACTGGTTAATCACTCTTGGTGAATTTTCCATAAACTCTTTTGAACTATTTGTGCAGATAATCATCATACTAGTTTAACAAAACCATTTTCTCTTCTACTTTGATAGCCAGAAATATCAGTTGTATGCAAATTGCAATGCTCTTGCCAGCATTCAACATGTCTTTGACTCTATTCCTCACTCAACAACAACAACTTGGATTTATATAGCGCTCTCCACACCAGACGGCGTCTCAGAGTGCTTTACAGTTTCGGATCCTGGGACCGAGCCGGGGGGAAGGGGGGGAAGGTGACCAAAGGCGTGGTCGAAAAGAAAGGTCTTCAGCAGAGACCTGAAAATGGGAAGGGAGGGAGCGAGACGAAGGGAGTGAGGAAAGCAGATCCCCAGCCTCTGTGGCTGAAGGCACGGCCGCCGAGGGTGGAGCGGAAGACTCGGGGGACAAGGAGGAGGCCAGACCCGGAGGAACAAAGACAACGGGTGCTGTTTTGAGGAGAGAGGAGGTCAGAGAGGTAGGGGCTGCAGAGGAGTGCAGGGACTTGAATACGAGGGTGAGGATCTTGAAGTCAGATTAACCCAGTGGTGCACAGCTTCAGCATTCTGTTCATCCTGAACTAAATTTCAAACCCCATGTTCAATCTATCACTAGGAATATTTTCCCTACCTCACACCCTTATCCACACCTTAGAAATTATAACATAGGAGGAGACTGTTTTGCTTTAGAATTGATGTTTTCAATGCTCTTTGCTGGGCTTCTGAGTCAACCTTTCAAAAAGGTAAAACCTCGGGAACACTGCAATCCATACATTTATACAAAGCACTTTTCAAATAGGGACAACGTATCAAACAAACATCTTTACAAAGACAGATTGGGTCTAAGATGTGGGGGGAGTTAGAAGGAAGGAGGTTGAATACATAGTCATAGATAGGTTTTGAGAATGGGTGAGATAGAGGACTGTCAAGGAGAGTTCCAGAGTGGGGATAGTGAAGGGGGGCATGAATCAGGGTAATGTTGGCTGAACAAAGGGAGCAGTTGGGGGAGCAGAGTAACGCAAGTCACAAGGTAAGGACAAGGTTCATAAAATAATTCTGGGTTTAGGGAGCCAAGTGAGAGTGGAAGTGATCAATGTGCAGAGCTCAAAGTGGAAAAGAAAGTGGCTGCGGTCTTCTGAATGATTTGGAATGATTTGTGAAGGGTGGAACCAGGTAAGCAGGGCATTGGAGAATCTGAGGGTGGTGAGAAAGGCATGGGTGTGTGAGGTTTAGTTAAATTGGGGTGAGGTAGTGCTGGAGGTGGGAAACGTGGAAATGGAGGAAAGTAGACTGAAAGTGGTTAGAGCCCAGATAAAAAAGTTTAAAGGCCAATTGTGGGTTGAACAAAACACCAAGTTAGTCAGTTGGAATGAGCATACTTGGAATGTCAATATGGTCAGCACTTGATGGGATGAGGTACTCCTGGTAACCAAGCAGGATAGCCTTAGTTTTGTCAGTTTTGAGTTGGGGAAAAGTTATCAGGACCAGGTGTTGGAAATGTATAATGGAAACTGAAAGGTAGAGTTGGGTGTTGTCTCTACATATGGAAGTCGATCCCATACCTGCAGATAATGTTGCTATTGGTCTGAAGCAGTTTCACAATTTAGAGATTTCTATCTGAGGATAGATATCTTTCTTTTTCCTTTTAAGAATGACTGTGGTTTCCTTTGAAGCTGCGTTCTTTTATTATCGTGGCGGAAGGGGAAGTTCTTGCATTGTGTTGCTATACATTGAACAAGATCTCACCACAAGATGTTGGTTGACCTGTCGCTCACTATGTTGAAATAGTAAGAGACAGCAATCAACAAGACAAACCGGATGCTGGGCTATATTGCTAAATTAGTTGAGTTTAGATCCCCAGATGTCATACTCAGACTGTAAAGAGCACTGGTCAGACCACACCTTGAACACTGCATACAGTTCTGATCACCATGACATAAGGGGGCTGGAGACAGCGTAGAGAGAAGCAAAGACGATGATCCCTAGTGTGAAAGGATGAGCTAAGAGCAATGATTAGACAAACTAGGGCTCTTCAGTCTTGAGAGAAGAGCGTAAAAGGTCATTTTAGGACAGATATCAGAGAGTATTTCTTTACTCAGAGGGTAATCAATGACTGGAATAAGTTGCCAGGATACTGGACTCATTTAAAAAGCAGCTTGGTGTTGTGATGGGAGATCATAGGGTTATTATTCTGGATCAGAAGGGCCTTCTTTATTCAAACCAATCTTGTGGTGTGCCAATGATCTATTGGAGATTGTGCTCTTATTAATCAAAACACAAAATACTGCAGATGCTGGAAATCTGAAAACAAAAACAGAAGTCGCTGGGAACCCTCAGCAGGTCAGGCAGCATTTATGGAGAAAGTGAGTCAACGTTTCGGGTCCATGATCATCAGAACTGAGGCATGTTGGGAGGGAGAGGCTTTTAAGGGCTAACAGAGCGGGGGGAGGCAGGGCAAGGAAGACAAACGAGAAAAGGGGTAGAGGACAGGGGATGATGGGTAAAAGAGGTGTTAATGAGAGCTTGTGGAGTCCTGTAGCTCAGTGGTTAGAGCACTCGCCTTGCAAGCGAGAGACCTGAGTTCAATTCCAGGCAGGGTGAAAACCTTGGGCAAGTTTTCTTGCTCCAGACGACTAATAATAATCCCTCCAAAACAAAACAATACTAAATTGGTCATTTTCAATCCACGACTGTTTGTGGGACACTGCTGTGCGCAATTGGCTGCCGCGTTTCGCCCACAAATGTACAGTCAATTCACTTTACAGCATATTCTGTGAAGCGCTTTGAGATGTCGAGAAGACATGAAAAGTGCTATATCAAATGCAAGGATTATTATTATATAATTATAATGACGCAGAACAAAGTGGGGGATTGCAACAAAGCAGGGGAATAAAGGTGTTAATACTGCAGAACAAAAGTGGAGGGGGGGGGAAGAACTTGTAACAAAACAGGCAGATCAGGGAGAGAAAAGAGAATAGATGCTGCCTGACCTGCTGAGTGTTCCCAGCGACTTCTATTTTTGTTTTGTGCTTTTATTAATATTCATATTGGAACTTCATTAGAATCCTTGCAAGCCTTTCTCAGCACATAACCCCCTCTCACTCAAAATGGACAAAAATATTCAGTGTACAATTCTCCCAGATGTTTTCAATCAATCCCTTGCACATTAGTATATTGTGAGTTGCATTGATAAAAGCATGCCCTGTCAGTAAAATAGCAAACCCACAAATCAATTCAGCATAAAACAAACTAACCCATTCATGCTGATACATTTTGTATTGGCCCTCAGTCTGGCTAGCAATGGAATATAAATTATTAACTCAACCTCCAAGACAATCAGCAAAGCCCCACAAACAACAATTAAACGAATGACCAATTTTATCTGAAGACTTGTTGATTGGGACACGGGGAGAAACTCCCTTCTCTTTTCAAGTCCTGCTGCGGGATCTTTAATATGCAGACAAATGGGGAATTCAGTTTAATGTTTTAAGGATGCCAACTCCTGACAATTCAGCCCTGCACATGCCCACCAGCCAGAGCCTTCAATGTGAGACTGGAGGAGAATATTTATGGAAGTTGACATGCACGTTACTATGTAGACAGGACAAACTGTAAAAAATATCCTCTCAATTGTATGGAAACAAAACTGTGGTATGGGTAAGGCTCACAGCACACAATATCTAATTAGTCATTGTACTGCATCCTGTATTTATTTCAGCTGGCTTAGTTAAGGACAATTCAATATTAGTAGCAACCACTGAAATAAGCGATGAGTTAATGTAGTCCTTATGTTTTCATTGGCTTACTATCCAGTCAAACATGCCTGTCATCTTATTCTCCCATGTGCCTGTCATCTTATTCTCCCATGTGAAGACTCGTCAAACATTGCAGGTTCAAATAGCTATCTGCATAAGCTAAACAGCAAGTAACCTATCATCTAATGTTCGACTTTTAATAGCTTAGATTGCTGTGGTACAGTGAGATTCAACTCATACTTCCTAAAGGGCAAGTATAATTGCTCATGGTATGTAGAGAATAATGCATGTAATTAGATTGTTGGTTCTACTTTAGGTATAGTATTTCTTATTCTTTGAATACCGTATTTCCTACTTTCCTCTCTAGAAAACATGGTCAGGGGTAAACTAAATTCCTTGTGAATTGAATTTTGGATTAAATGAATTGCATCTGGGTTTAATATAGAATGATATAGAATGATAATGCATGGGAACAGGCCATTGAGACCAACCAGTGTGTGTCAGTGTTTATACTCCACAAAGACTTCCATTCCTTTCCCTCATGTGTGCATGAAGTTTCCTCTTAAATGTATTGAAGCTTTCTGCTTCAATCACAGCTTTTGGCAGGGAGTTCCACATTCTCACCACTCTCTACATAAAGAAGGTTCTCTAAATTCCCTTTAGATCTGCTATGAGTTACCTTATATTTATTAAAATAATCTTTGCTGTTACCTTTTTTATTGATTATTATTCATACATTTGTCAATAAATAGTGTTAAGCAGTTCAGATCATTCTAAAGTGTTTTTTTTCAAAAAACATGAATAGTTTTTCTTGAAACCCTCAATTAGCTTTACAACTTGGAAAGACTCAAAGTTAATTTGCTGAATTTACAGATATACTAAATGTTTTTGAGTGAAAAATATATTCATGGGGCGTTTGCATTGTGACTTTTCGTGGTTCGATTATTTATCTGTGAAACGTATCATCAGTCAAAAAATGAAGAATAAAACCCAAAAACGTGAATAATTTTGCCTCTTATTCAGGTTTGGATTCTGGCATCAAATTCTAACGTTACCAAGTTTTAGTTTTGTAAATGCCTTTTCTATACACTGAATAAAAACAAACCTCTAGCATACATTTGAATGATGGTAATCTCTTAGTTAAACAAAAACAAACCTTTGCAGGACTGTTGCCTGGTAACATTTCAAATAGTTAACACATTTTCACAGTGCTCAAAAATGGGAATGTTAATTTGAGCCCTGCAATTATTAAATAAAATGCAGCATATTCACATGGGCCAAATGTATATAACATGTTCTTGTTCTCTAGCTGAACATACTCAGAGTACAGTATCTGGTTTTGATTGTCATATTTGTGAAAAGACAGCGAGGTTCAAAAAATGGCAATGGAGGGAGATTGAAGGAGCTGAATCCCATTCGCAACACGTGCCACATTTTTAATGCAAATCCATCACAATGGTAGGTTTGTTTTCCAGGACCTGCAAAGAAAATGCAGTAGTGTCACACTGGTATGGTCTACGTAGGCAGGGTTCCATCTTTCCTTATGAGCCATGGAGAAAGTGTAAGTAATGCTGTGTCCATCATTGTTTTCCAGTTATGGCCAGGCTAAAATCTCAGTTCACATATATGAGCCAATGAACCAGTTTGAGGTGAATTATGTAGTTTGCTGGTAGGTAAGTGAAAACCTAGAACAAGAAAGGTAATAAGTCTAAGTAATAGAAAAGGGAATAAGGTTTCCTCGGGGTTGAGCTGTCTCCAAAATGACTTGCTTCGCAGTGGAAAGTCAGAATTGAATCAGCCCTCTATAGTGGTCTCAGTCATCAAGGCATTACTTAATGACAGTTCAACCAGCCAGCCTGGCTCATTAGAAGGAGTTTAAGGGTCAGATAATGCCAACAGGGATTCATCCCACTTGGCTTCTATTAACTGCAAGGTTAGAGAGGTTGGCTGGACAAGCAGTTGGAACGTCGCTGGGCAGTGCTCTCAATGACAAGCTATGTGTTTTGGTTTCTCTTTATCACAACATACACACACGGTGATTGAATCTCACACACTCACTCTCTCTCACACAGTGATTGAATCTCACACACTCACTCTCTCTCACACAGTGACTGTCTCTCACACACTCACTCTCTCCTCACACACAGTGACAACAACAAAATTACATTTATAGAGGGTCTTTCACGTCAGGAAGACATCCCAAAGCGCTGAACAGTCAGATGTTGGTGCTTGAGCATGGGGGAGGGGTGGTGTAGGGGGGAGGGAAGGCAGAGAGGTGAGAGGAAGACCAAAGGCACGGTCGAAGAGAAGGGTCTTGAGACCGGCCTTGAAGGAGGCAAGGGAGGAAGCGAGGCGAAGGGACCGTGGGATGGAGTTCCAGAGTGAGGGGCAGAGAGGCTGAAAGCCCGGGCACCGATGGTAGGGAGGGGCGGGTGGAAGACATGGAGCAGACCGGAGCCTGATGAACGGAGGGAGTGGACAGGTTGGTAGGGAGTCAGCAGGTCAGAGAGGTAGGAGGGGGCAAGGCCATGGATGGCCTTAAAGGTGAGGACGAGGATCTTGAACTCGATCCTCTGGGGGATGGGGAGCCAGTGGAGTTGGGCGAGGGTGGGAGTGATGGGGTCGCGGAGCCTGGTGCGTGAGAGTACACGAGCTGCAGTGTTTTGGATGATCTGCAGCTTGTGAACGGAAGAGTTGGGAAGGCCGATGAGGAGGGAGTTCCCATAGTCGAGCCTTGTTGTAACAAATGCGTGGGTGAGGGTTTCGGCAGCCTGAGGGGTGAGGCAGTGGCGGAGTCTGGCAATGTTGTGGAGGTGGTGGTAGGCTGCGTCAATCATGGCACGGATGTGGGTGAGAAAGGACAGTTCAGGGTCGAACAAGACACCCAGCTTCCTGACTGGCTTAGTGAGGTTGAGTGTGCAGCCGTGGAGGCTGATGCTGCCAGCGTCCGAGGTGCGGAGGCGCTGGCATGAGCCAATCAGGAGGGCCTCGGTCTTGCTGACGTTGAGTTGGAGAAAGTTGGCCCTCATCAAGGACTTGATGTCGGACAGGCAGTCGGTCAGGACGCCAGTAGTCCTGGAGTTCAGGGTGGAGTCAGAGAGGTAGAGTTAGGTGACATCCGTATACATGTGGAAATTTACCCCATGTCTGCGGATGATGTCCCCAAGGGGGAGCATGTAGAGGGTGAAGAGGAGGGGACCGAGGACAGAGCCCTGAGGAACACCACACGAGACAGTGCGGGGGCTGGAGGAGAAGCCGTTTGCCGCGACAAAGTGGAGGTGGTGTGAGAGGCAGGACCTGAACCAGTCAAGGACAGAACCGTTGAGGTAGGAGGAGAGGCGGTGGAGGAGGATTGAGTGGTCCACAGTGTCAAAGGTGGCGGAGAGGACGAGGAGGCAAAGGGAGCCATGGTCACACATGGTAAGGATGTTGCTTGTGACATTGACCAGAGCAGTTTCCGATTGGAGGGTTTCGTGGAGGGAGTGAGAGGAGAGGAAAGGACTGGCACTCACACAGTGACTGACTCTCACACACTCTCACATACACTCACTCTCACTCACATACTGACTGACTCTCACACACATTCACTCTCTCCCTATCACGCTCACACACACACTCTCTATCACTCTCACACATACATTCACTCTCTCTCTATCACTCTCACACACACATTCACTCTCTCTCACACTCTCTCTACTCTCTCTCCCACAACTCTCTCTCACACACTCACTCTCTCACACTCCCTCTTACTCACTCTCACCCATCTCACTCACTCTCTCTCTCTCTGTGTCACACTCATTGTATCTCTCTCACACTCTCTCTATCACTCTCTCTCACTATCATTCTATTTCTATCTCTCTATCTCTCTCTCACACACACACTATCTCTCTCACTATCACTCTCTCTATCACTCTCTCTCTATCTCACTATCACTCTATCTCACTATCTCTCTCTATCTCACTATCACTCTCTCTCACTATCATTCTATTTCTATCTCTCTATCTCTCTCTCACACACACACTATCTCTCTCACTATCACTCTCTCTCTATCTCACTATCACTCTATCTCACTATCTCTATCTCACTATCACTCTCTCTCTATCTCACTATCTCTATCTCACTATCTCTATCTCACTATCACTCTCTCTCTATCTCACTATCACTCTCTCTCTATCTCACTATCTCTATCTCACTATCTCTATCTCACTCTGTCTCTATCTCACTATCACTCTCTCTATCACTCTCTCTCTATCTCACTATCTCTATCTCACTATCACTCTCTCTCTATCTCACTATCACTCTCTCTCTATCTCACTCTCTCTTTCTCACTATCACTCTCTCTCTATCTCACTATCACTCTTTCTCTCTCTCACTATCACTCTCTCTCTATCTCTCTCTCACTATCACTCTCTCTCTATCTCTCTCTCACTATCACTCGCTCTCTATCTCACTCTCTCACTATCACTCTCTCTCTATCTCACTATCACTCTTTCTCTCTCTCACTATCACTCTCTCTTACACTATCACTCTCTCTCTGTCTCTCTCTCACTATCACTCGCTCTCTATCTCACTCTCTCACTATCACTCTCTCTCTATCTCACTATCACTCTTTCTCTCTCTCACTATCACTCTCTCTCTATCTCTCTCTCACTATCACTCTCTCTCTATCTCTCTCTCACTATCACTCGCTCTCTATCTCACTCTCTCACTATCACTCTCTCTCTATCTCACTATCACTCTCTCTCTATCTCTCTCTCACTATCACTCGCTCTCTATCTCACTCTCTCACTATCACTCTCTCTCTATCTCACTATCACTCTCTCTCTATCTCTCTCTCACTATCACTCGCTCTCTATCTCACTCTCTCACTATCACTCTCTCTCTATCTCACTATCACTCTCTCTCTATCTCTCTCTCACTATCACTCGCTCTCTATCTCACTCTCTCACTATCACTCTCTCTCTAGCTCACTCTCTCTCTATCTCACTCACTCTCTCTCTCTCTCACTCTCTCTGATGCTGTGTGTGTAGTGGTTGCCTGGGGTCGCGCGTGCGCAGTGTGCTGGTGGCCGCTGTCTGCTCCTGGCTGGGAAGATGGCGGCGGCGGCGGCGGCGGTGGGGAGCGGGGCCGAGCCCGGGGCCGGGCCCGGGGCCGGGGCCGAGCGGCGGGCAGAGACTCTGGGCTTTTACGAAGCCCGAGGACCACTGGACAAGAAGCGAGGGGGGAAGCGGAGTGTTTCAGGTGAGTGGGTGGGGAGGGGGAGGGCAGCGACACCGCGGCCCGGGCCCCGGCTGACAGGCCGGAGTGTGGCCTCCCTCCCCCCTCCCTCTCTCCCTCCCTCCCTCACCAGCCTCAGCCCCCGCTCATCCACAGCTCCCGAGGGTCAGGCACCCCGTCACCGCCACAGCCGCACCTGCCCCCCCCCCCCGCCAACACCCTGCAAGGCCCGGGGTGGGCAGAGCCACCGCACAGCCACCGAGGAGCTCCCCACACGGCGAGCAGAGGGGGGGCTCTCACACTCACTCACTCACACACACACACTCACTCACACACTCACTCACACACACACTCTCACACACACACTCTCACTCACACACACTCACTCACTCACTCACACTCACTCACACAGTGACTGACAATCTGTCACTCACTCACTCACACTCACTCTGACTGACAATCTGTCTCACACTCACTCACTCACTCACAGTGGCTGACAATCTGTCACACACTCACACTCACTCACACACTCACTCACTCACTCACAGTGACTGACAATCTGTCACACACTCACACTCACTCACACACTCACTCACTCACAGTGACTGACAACCTGTCTTACACACACTCACTCACTCACTCAGAGTAACTGACAATCTGTCACTCACTCACTCACAGTGACTGACAGTCTGTCTCACACTCACACACAGCAACTACAGCACAGAGAGGGTCTGTATTATAGATGAGGCGATAAGGGGGTCTGTATGTAAGACGGAAGAGGTGAGGGGTCTGTTTGTGAGAGGAGGAGGTGAGGGGTCTGTATGTGAGAGAAGAAGGTGAGGGATCTGTATGTGAGAGGAGGAGGGTTGATTTTTAGTTTAAGTTGGACAAGGAACTGACCTGTACACAAAATCTTTGTCTGCAGGGCCCTAATTGAAGGCAGCTTTGAAGACTGGCTTTGTGTATTGTGTCTTTGTGTAGTGTGTTAACTGGAGAATAATTAACTTGATAATAGATCATTGAAACACCTCCCAAGTAAAATTCCCATATCAGGTTGCTCACCTGCAATATAACCAGGCAGAAATTATGGCAGTCCAAAGGCCAAGTATATTTCACCTTGAAATATGATAAATACCAGTAATTAAACTTTTACAAACCGCTTGTCGTGACATTTTTGTCAGATTGTCAATCATTTTTGTAAAGAATGGCCTATTACACTGTACAGCATGTCTTTAATAAGAAGCATGGGGGCATCTTTTCAAATTTGTATCTGAAACCAGAGTAAGTATGAACTTTCAAAATGATTTCAGTTGATACTGCCTGTAGTGTGGTGATATCTATTTGATTTTTAACTACCTTTGTCATATTTTGAACTAATGTAATTTTTAAGTAACTTTGTCATTCGTGCATATTTAGGGTGTGGTTCCTTTTTTGAATTTTGTTTTGTTTTTGACGCTAGGTTGGAACTTCCGCGTGTAAGTAATTATTAGAGTTAATTTTTTTAATCAAAAGGATCAGCTATTCAAGATGATGATATACAGTATTCACAGAATAGCATAATCTGATGCATTTTTTAAAAAAATTGATTGGACCAAAACAATTATAACCAGCAACTGTGTGCCATAACAAATATTTATCAGGAGCTCATAATAATTTGTAGCTCAATGCACTCAATACCACATGAAAAGAGACTGAGATCACGGGGTGTCAAGGACAAGAAATGCACTTGGATTCAGAATTGTCTGAAAGAAGCAGAATGGGATGATAACTGGCTAATGAAGTTTAATGCAGATATATGCAAGGTTCTATATAAAGGAAACAAGATGAAGAAACATTTCCTGCAAAGATGGGATAGGACTTGTCAAAGGGGAAGCTGAAAGAGACCAAGAGTGTTAGTTGACTCATCGCTCACCATGTCAAAACAACAATTAATATAGGGATCTTTCACACAGGACAGCATCCCGGAGCAGTGTGAGACCATAAAACAAAGTGAGATAGCAATAAACAAGGCAAACAGGATGTTGGTCTACTTTGCTAAATCAGTTGAATTTAAATTGCCAGACGTCATACTGAAGCTCTGGTCAGTTTGGAGTACTGTAATAAAAGGGAAGAATGTATACAGTATTGTATACAGTTCTGGTTGCTGCATCATAAGGGACCATCTGAGGCCTAGGGTCAATGCAGAGGAGAGCAATGAGGATGTTCCGCAATGTTAGAGGAATGAGCTACGAGCAATAATTAGACAATTTGACGCAACCATATAATCCTATTATTCTATCTTCATGACATACACATGATCATAATCGTTCTTGGTATCTGACTATCCTGATAGAATTGAGTACCCAAAGTTGAAGTGGTACTCAAGGGACTATACCCCGCGTGAAGGGTGCTATATAAATGCAAGTTGTTGTTGTGTAACTTTTTGTGGTACGTGTGTTGAAATTAACATAACTCTCCAGAGATAATTGTAAATTGATCTTTTGCTTACTTACAGTGCTGACGTAAATTTATTCAGAGGTAAGGAACCTAGAAAAAAATGTTACGGCATAGAAAAAGGCTATTTGACCCGTCATGTCACCTGGTGGGATTCCAAAATAGTGCTGGTGATAATATTAATTGCAAAAGACTCCCTTCGCCTTGATCAAAATACTGCTGGTAGTTATTGTATTGGACTCGGTAATGTTCCAGCAATTTTGTTCTTTGTTAATGATTGCTTGGAGGTCCATTGTCCATATGGGAACATTTATGCTGAGTTAATTTAACTGTGTCCTGCTTTGTCAATCCACTGTGTTCTAGAAAGGAGCATAGAAGTCTACGTAACATACTCAGTTGTCCATGAAATAGAGATGATTGACTTTGTGTCTTTGATTTTATTGAGTGGCTTTTTTAAAAGCTTTTTAAAATAAAAAAAGCTTTTTTAAAAGCCACTCATTTTAAAGAGACACTTGCTGTGGTGATTTTACCAAGTGATTATAGATTATAACTGAAAAAAGACTGTATCCTTAAGTACTTAATGGATGAATTAATTAAGTCAGCAACTCATAGGCATGATCACTAACATAATGCATTTTATTTGTGTAATATTGATTTTAAAGCAGCTGTCTTAACTGTTTACCCAATTGAATGATTGAGATGGTGGAAAACACTGTAACAGATGTCTGTAGTGACCTACCTTAAACACTTACTGTTCTGCATTGGTAAAAAAAACTAAACAGAAAAAAATTGCAAACTGTGCATATTTACAAATCTTTTGGGGAACCTGAATCAGAATGTCAAATTAGAATATAGTATTTTGAATACCACTAATGCTAAAGTAAGTTTCCTGTTTTAAAGCAGAAATCCTTAGTTAGCCTTTATATTAATTTTACTCCCTCTCAACAATTTGATCTCTGGAGTGCCATTCCTGGATTCCCTCCGACTCGCTCCCTCCCTCCCCTCTTTCAAGGCATGTCAAGACCTAACTGTTTGACCACACTTTCAGGTATCTTCCCTCCTCCCCATCCCACCTCCCTTGGCCCACATCCCCACCTTAGCTGCGTGCTAGCCAGTTTGTTTGTTTGTTTGTAGGACTTTGCTGTGCGCAAATGGCTGTTGCATTCACCTACAAAATACCCAGTCACTACACTTTATAGTATATGTTTCGAAATGCTGTGATAAGGTGCTATGTAAGGATTATTATTTAGCCCTGAGGCTCTGCTAAGATTAGGTGTTGTGTTTTTTAGCTGTGTGGTTTTAGCTGCTTAGACTCCCAACAGTACTCCAACACAAAATCTGGGGCCCCCAAGTTTGGCTGTTGCCAACATGCGCCTAATGCTTTCTGGAATTAGGTAAGCAGGATGTGTCCCTCCAGGGAGCGAGTGGGCATACCATTCCAACAATCTATCTCTGGAATTTCCATGTGTAGATGGGATGCATGGAAATCTCAGCTTGGGTAGGATACTTAAGCATGGTGATGGGTTTCCAAAGGTATCAGACACCGGCTGACCTAAACAAAATGATCAGATATAGAAATATAACATGCTGTTACTCATGAGGAGAGCCGGGGCTCCAGGGGCGAGTAGCAGGAGCCGGCTGCGGATATGCTCAGCCATTGGGCTCAGGTTATCTTGGATTGCTTCCATCATCCCCTCCTGAGGCTGGGCTCTTTACCCATCGAAATGCTAACTTGGGCGTCCTAACAGTGAGCCTGGTACCAAGTCAAATGCAAATCCTCCAAGTCTATTAATATGCAGCCAGGTTCAAACTTCTTTAGGGAAAGTGTGGGTGGGTGAAACCTTGGACAGAGCGGCTTTTTAAACTAGACGCCTGGAGACTGGAATTGAGACATCAGCAGGTTGTCCAGACTTGGTCTGATACTTTCACTGAGTCTATTTCCTGTGTGGCAGCTCAATTCTCAAATCTGTAGACAATTCCTGCATAAGGGAACGGACAATCTCGGGCTCCCTCCAGGCTCAGGCTCTTGAATGAAGGCTTTTCCAGGTGCTGGCTCAATGAAATCCGTACATGGAACAGGATCTGACCTCGAAAACACTCAGGAAACTATTGGGTGGGCTACCAAAACCACATGTTTGATAGACCCTACTATAGAAGGATTCAACCAAGAACTACCAAAACTTAATAAAACCCTGTAGATAAGGTGTAATGAAGTCATAGAAGGGTCAACTGAGAACTTCCAAGAACTGCTACTTGTGCAACAACATGATTATAGATAAGGTATAATGAGATCATACCATCACATTACTTCTGTGGAGCAATGTCATGAAACAGACACATTAATTATTGAATTAGATGTAGAGCAGGGTACATAGTAGTTTCGAACAAAATTTAAATCAGCACCCGTCAGGATGTAGGTTACCTATTTTGGCTGTAAAAATAAAATAAATTTGAAATAGGCAAGAACCTTACCATCACTGAAAATATAAGACCAATAATTAAATGAGGGCAATTTGGATGAAATGCTCAGCCTACTCCTGTTCCTATGTTGCTAAGAACAGGAAGATGAGACCTAAGTTCAACACCTTATC